TCTTGTACAGCTATCTTTATGGGCTCTCTTCATAGCTGTACTGATGTTTCTACTGTATATTCTGTCCTCTACCCCTAAACCCAACCCTCACAGGAAACAATCTTGTTTTTACATTTTCAAAATACTACATTCTGTCTGATTTATGAGCCGCTTTCCTCATGGGGTCCAAATGTCCCCACAAGGTCAAAGTTTACTGGTATTGCTATACTTGGTGGGTCCCCACATTGTAAGGAAAACAAGATGTTCACACATACACACACACACACACACACACACACACACACAAACACATATACACACACACATACAGGCACAAGAGCATATATAGACAAACAGACACGGACACTCACACACACACACAAAAACAAAGACTCACACATATACACATTACACATGCACACAAACACACACTCCCAGAGACAGACATACACACTCGCAAAAACAGAGACACACATATATACATTACACATGCACACCCTGAGAGACATATAAACACACTCACACAGAGACACACACATACTGTACACACACAGAAGCATACAGACACACTCACAGAGACAAAGACCTACACACAGACACACAAAGGAGCACAGATACACACTCACACATGGAGTCACACTCACAAACACAGACACACGCATATGCACATTACACATGGCTACTCACACACACACACCCTGAGAGAAAGACAGACACACAGAGAAGCACACATGGACACACAAACAGGGAGACACACACACACAGGGAGACACACACACACACACATACTATACAGGCACACTCACAAACAAAAACACAGACATATACACACAGACACACACACAAAGGAGCACATAGAGATACACACTTACACATGGAAACACACACACTCACAAAAACAGAGACATACACATTACACATGCACACGCATACACCCTGAGAGACAGATACACACACCCACACAGAGACACACACATTCACACACACACACACACACACACACACACACACACACACAAAGAAGCACATAGATACACTCACACATGGAGACACACACACACACACTCACAATTACAGAAAAATAAACACATTACACACACACTAAGAGAGCACACATAGAAACAATCATGCAGAGAGATACACACACACACACACACACACACACACACAAGCACACACACTCAAAAAACCCAAATTACTTATTTGAGCTGAAAGAACACAATTCGTGACATTTTTAAGGGACAACTTATTTGTTTTATGTTCAGTCGACTGACCTCATTTGTGTTTGGACGACCTGAATGAGTTGTGTGGAGCCCTGCATTATTTTACACCATACACACACACACACACACACATTGACATTGACCACATGCCCGAGGACTTGATCTACTGTATGCAAGTCTCCCTAACATGTTTGCGAGGTGTTTCTGAGCTCCTCCTGATTGAATCTGCTCCACCACACAGCTCCCACAGAGCCTCACTGTTAAACTGCTGGAGTCCTCCCGCTCCTCATCTCTGCCCATTCACTCTAATGGAAACCACATGCAGTACATTCAGCAGGGAAGTAAAAGGCTGTTCAGCTCCACTCTGGACGTCCCGCACGGCCTTCTGCTGCTATTGTTTCCACTCAGGCCTCTTGTGTTTGTGATTTCTGCAGGGCTGCCATTGCTGTGTGTAGTGTAGTGTAGTGTAGTGTAGTGTAGTGTAGTGTAGTGTAGTGTAGTGTAGTGTAGTTTAGCCACAGCACTCTTACATCAGACCCGTATCATCTTATGAGCGTCTGTCAACACTTTTGGATAATGATATACTATTTATAGACTCTGATGGGAGCCAGAATGTCTTAATATTTCATCATCTTTGTGCTTTGTTTGCAGAATTATTGCAAAACTTTGAAGACTTTTAAAATGATTCAACAGGATTTAACTTGAATATGTGGCTAAATTAAAACTTTATATATGAGGTTTTTCCCTTTTGTTTTGTGCATTTGTAGTGTAATTAAAATCTTAAAATTAATATTTAAAATCTGTAATTGCATCTTATGTAAATGTTATTTTAATGGCATTTAATTGTAATGGAAGGTAACTGTTTTAACTGCACTTTTAAATTGTGCATTTTGCATTACAGTTTGTAGTTTGTTGCAATGTGAGAAAAAATGCACAATGTTATTTTAAACAATTAATATTAAAAAAATAAATAAAAGTATTACAAAAAAAATGTGAAGCTTTAAATAAATTAATGAATCACATGTAAATTACTCTGTAAAAAATGCAGGGTTCCACACAATCCTTCATGTTTTCCAACACAAATTAAGTTAACTTATTAACTAATTAATTTTTACAAATTTAAGTGGATTGAACAAAATAAATAAGTACTCTCTTAAAAAAAAACTATTAATATTTGTGTTGTTGCAACTGATTTTAAGTAGTGTAATCAAGCAGCAAAAGTCGTTTTTGAGTGTACAGTTTGTTATTAGCTAGTTAAAGAAGCTTTATGAATGTTTTACATTTTATGTTTTAACATTTATTTGATTTGTTGTTACAACTGTGTAATTACAGTTAACCATATATTAATAAACATTACTTAAATTATTTTTGGATTAATAACAAATTTTTTCTATGTAATAAATGCATGTCAGTATGCATTTGTCATACTTTTACCATATTTTAATGAAAAAAATAGTAATTATTAACTATTAAAGATCCACATAAGTCATATATAAGTGCAGCAGTACATTCGAAAGTTCAGCTAATTGCAGCTAGGATACATTAGTTAAATTTAATTAAGTTTATTGTAATATTAAATACTTTTAAAACGTGATCTTTTGTCACTCCATGTTAGTGTCATATTTTTTAAATAAATCCCTCTCTGCTGAAGAGAGACATGGATGCATCCAAAGTGCTTCACTGACATGTGGAGCCAAACAGAGGATCATTTATTAACCAGACACAACACAAAGTCTCACAGGACACACTGATCAATAATACTTTACCTGGAAGATCAGCCGTTCCTGCTTCCTGTGTTCTGAATCCAGTGAGAGATCAGTGTCTTACTGGAAATACACAGACTATTGAACACAACATTTAAACTGGAGTTTCTAATAATAATAATAGATCAGAGTAATCTCATTACGAGTCTTTGTAGGATCAGTATTTCTCTGCACACACACACACATTTTCCTAATTGGTTTTTCGGTAACAGTTTATTTGGTCACACTTTAAAGTAAGGTTTCATTAGTTAATGTATTTACTAACATGAACTAATAATGAACAATACTAGTACAGCATTTATTCATCATATTTTAACATTACTAATGCATTATTAAAATCCAAATTCAGTGAAACTACTATACTATAACTAACATATACTGTAATAAATGTATTGTTCATTGTTCATGTTAGTAAATGCATAAACTAATGCAACCTTATTGTAAAGTGTTACCATGTATTTCAAGTCACAATTCATACTATTAACAAACCGTTAACCAAAACTATTAGCTCATAATAAGCTGCTTGTTAATAGTTAGTGAAGTTGGATTTGGGTTTTGAGTAGGATTAGGCATTTAGAATAAAATCATACTTTATAACTACTAAACAGCAGGTAATATTGCAATAATATGCAGGTATTAAGCAAGTAGTGAATAGCAGGAATTATCACTTAAACTAAAGTGTGTTTTTTTTTTTTTTTTTTTTTACTGTTCTTCTGTAAGCTTTCTAAATATTCTGTTTGTCCGCTGGAGTAACACCCCTTGCCAAAAGGATTCAACACTATTTCTAGCAGGGGAAGGAGCCACTAGGAAAGGGTTTGACTGGTGAATGATGGTTAGTTTTACCAGGGAAGGGTATTTGAGAGGCGGTATTTAAATCAGCTCATGGTTCCTCTTGCAGGAGCTGAGAATAGATGAGCCCTACTGAGTGAACTTATCACCCTCGTTTCTATATATCAGCTATCAAACACCTTTTCCAGTGGTTCATCACCACATTAAATATCCATACTCTGCTAGCAATTTTGGGCCCTATGAAAAAGATAGGAGGTTGGTCCTCCTTCCACACTTGTTCAGCACCAAACATACAACCAACCTATCTATCCAAAACCTTTGTCTTATTGCAATTCATTAGTATACTGACCACTTAATCAGAAATACAATTAGAAATCGCTTACCAGGAGCAAAAGAGTAAATTATAAATATAGATAGACAGATAGATAGATAGATAGATAGATAGATAGATAGATAGATAGATAGATAGATAGATAGATAGATAGATAGATAGATAGATAGATAGATAGATAGATAGATAGATAGATAGATAGATAGATAGATAGATTAATTGATTGACAGATAGACAGACAGATATGCTTTTAAATTTTACTTATGATTGATTAAATATCTGCATGTACATCCCTTTCACCTTAACCCACCCATAAACCAAACCTGCCACTAACCCGACCCGTATCCCACATCAACAATGCATTATGAACAAGTACATTAAGTATGTTGTATTTATTTTTTGATGCAAATTAATAGTAGCTAAGACCACCTAATATGAAATGGGACCCTTGTTTCCCCATACTTCTAATTGCACATTAACAAAGGCTGATAGAAACCCAGCTACGGATAATTCTTATAACATCACTACTGTCGATCCTTTCTATTGCATAAAATGCCTTTGGAACTCAACAGTTTGGACATTTAGATGCAGTTTTAATAATATAAACTAATAATAATTTAATAATATAAAACTTTTCAATTGTTTTTCCAGCATTGATTGAATTGTTGGTTTTTTTATGATAACGCATGTTTTTTTCCCTCATTTAAAATATTAAAAATGTTTACAGATTGATATGTTTCTGATCCCACAACTCTGTAGTGAGTAGTTTTGTAAAATGTAAACCGATGTTTCAGTATAATGTTAACATATGCTTTCTCTGTGAATGTATGTCATGAGTTTTTACTGCAAATGTCACATTTGTTACGCTGGAACTGCTTGAATGCACTTCTTATGATTGTTCTCTTTCTGTTCTAGATGGACCTGAAGCTACTTTTCATATCAGCATTATTAGGCATCATCAGCTGCAGTCATGCACAGCAGGGTAACGTAAACATCCACATCCTTCACTCTTCTGTCCTTACATAATGAATAACTCTGACAAAGCCAGGATTTCTCTCTCTCGCTCCGCAGTTAAATACTGATGTCATTACTCAGAGTCGCTCCACCCAGCGCGGTCGGAGCATTAGCCATAATGGAAAAACTTAGAGTAGTCATCTCTGGCTCCAATTACAGCGATGCAAATGAATCGACGCTTTGCAGCTCGCTGAAAACTGCTGTCTCTTGTGTTCTCAGAGGGCAACGAGTGCATTAAAGCCAACGCTTTGTCCTGCGGCGAGTGCATACAAGTGGGGGACAAATGTGGATGGTGCACTGATGCGGTGAGTGTGTGTTCATAAGCCTCACTCGCTCCTTTCTTTAAAGTACACATGGAATCAGAACTAACCCCTGCTGGATATTATTTAATATAAGAATGAGGTTTTAGTTTAGGATTCGTTTTTTAAATCAGTATTTAGTAAATATACTATTGGTGAATCCTAAAGTGGCGATCAGGTCTTAATGTATGGAAAGTCTCTTAAAAAGGTCTTTAATTTTTCTGTGTATACCCTGTGTACAGTAAGGTTTCACTTGTTAACATCAGTTAATTTAACTAAACTCGTAATGAAAAAAAAAAAGCCAATGCTCTAATTTATTACATTTCGTTTATTGTTTTGGTTCCAATTTACTGTGTAACTATTAAATGTTGAAGTACTGAGTAATGTTGATTAACTGCATGCATGGTCAGGGAAAATGTTAGGGTTAGCTGCATGCAATTGTACATTAGTAAGTTATAGAACATGCAACAAAGACACTAAAATCAGCATAAGGATCATGTGGCAGTGAACACTGGAGTCATTGTGCTCAAGATGCAGCTTAGTGTAACAGAAAAAAGACATTGCACAGTATTGTTTTTAAAAGAGAACCCCCTTTAAGTGGCTTTTACTGTACTTTTGCTCAAATAAATGCAACATTCATGAGAATAAAGGTGATGATGCACAGGACAACTTTTAGAGCAGATGTTACCGGTTAACTTTGGGTTGCCGGGAAATTCCATCAATGGGCAACCAGGTTAGACACAGAACCAGATAAGTGTTGCCCATTTATTAATAATAAAATGGTCAATCATCATTGCACCGTAATATTGCCCAACAACATTGCTTAAAAAGTTGCCTCTTATATCATCACCTTAAGAGCCACTGCCTTATAAGCTTCTTCAAAAGATCAAACGTGTAATGCAAAAAACAAACTATAATTTGTTGTTTTGCTCCATAGAACTCCATATAAAAGCCAGAAATGTTTTTGCACGGGCCTATTTAAAGGGTTAATGCTGCCAACTGATGATCGACAGTAAAAATGACAAGTTTCACCTCTTCCCAACAGGGAAAACCAGCAACAATCTAGAATGCATGATTATATGCTGTCATGGCTTTGCGATGAAAAAATGTGTTTATAATGGAAGTCAATGTGGCAAAAACAGCACCAACATAACCAAAGGGGAGTCAATTTAAACAATACACAAGGGTAACAGAGCGGCTTTTGTTGACATGTTGTACTTTGTACCTTTTTGTACCGTTAACACCAATCAAGTCATTATATACAGTAAATTAAAACTATTAAAAAAACACATTTAACTTCAACAACAAAAGTTGTGGGAATAAAGGTCAAAAGCCCATATTGCAGCTAAAAACAACCTTTAATAACCTTCAACTAACCGCTTTAATATTTACTCCCGACAGGAGTTTCTGAAGCAGGGAGAGCCGACATCGGCGCGCTGTGATGAGCTGGAGTCGCTCAAGAAAAGAGGCTGCGCAGAAGATAAGATCGAGAACCCGCACGGCAGCCAGAGAATCCTGAAGAATACACCGGTGACCAACCGCAAGAAAGGAGCCGAGAAACTCCGACCCGAGGACATCACGCAGATCCAGCCTCAGAAACTCAGCCTCCAGCTCAGATCCGGTGCGTGTGAAAGCAACACCATGCAGTTTATAATGACTGGCATTGCATTTAGAGTTTGTGTTAGCACTGGTATATCTGACTATGTCTTATACAGGTGAAGTCATAATTATTCGCCCTCCTTTTCACACACTTTACTGCTTGTGATTTGGATAATGCTAACACCTGTGTTATTGCTGTAGGAGAACCTCAGAATATTAAACTGAAGTTCAAGCGGGCTGAGGACTATCCCATAGACCTGTACTACCTGATGGACCTGTCCTACTCCATGAAGGACGACCTGGAGAACGTTAAAAACCTGGGGACGAGTCTGATGAAGGAGATGTCCAAGATCACCTCAGACTTCAGGATAGGTCAGAGTCTTAAGCTGGACATTAATTTATGTGTCAGGATTTTAACTTTCAGACATGCATATAATAATATATGATTATTTATAAAGCCTACACTATCTGTTAAGCATATGTTTTATATAAATAATTGAATTAAAATGGTTATGTTCTTAGATAATTGTATTACTATTAAACTGTAGGCGAAGAAAACTGCAATGGTCAGTATCATAATTTTTTTCCTCTTATTTACTATTGTTGTCCAAAGACTTGCCTAATTAGTATCTTACAAAATAACTAGTAAAGTATGATGTACTGTCATCATTGCAAAGGCAAAATAAACTAGTTATTAGAAAATATTGCATTTAAAATTTAGTTATGTGCAAATCATTGTGTTTATATTTTATTTCTATATTTTTTAAATAATATTAATAATTAATTAATGCTAATTCTAAAATAAAGAGTCACAATCACTGCTAAAGCTCAAACAGAGAAAATGTCTATTTATTTATTTATTATTAATTAGTTTTTTAATCTAATATTCTAATTTGTTCATTTGGGGACAGGTTTTGGCTCTTTTGTGGAGAAGACCGTCATGCCGTATATCAGCACGACTCCGGCCAAGCTTCTAAACCCCTGCACTGGAGACCAGAACTGCACCAGCCCCTTCAGCTACAAAAACGTGCTCAAACTGACCAGCAACGGGCAGCGCTTCAACAGCCTGGTGGGACAACAGCAGATTTCTGGAAACCTGGACTCTCCTGAGGGAGGATTCGATGCCATCATGCAAGTGGCCGTCTGTGGAGTGAGTATAAAGCTACGTGAAGAGGGTTTGCTCTAGATAAGGACACTTTTTTTGTTATTTTATATATATATATTACAATTTTACAATTTTTTTCATTAACATGTCTTAGTAATGACATTTGCTTGGTTTTATGATCGAGTCTCTATAGTTTTCAAATCTCAATCAATCCATTTGTCAATCTGTTTGTTTACACAAAGAGCAGAAAATCAGATATGTTAATATGTTAAGTGTTTGGTTTTGTCCAATCAGAGTGGAGTGGGCTGCTGCATTGCATATTATGAGAAAAATGATGATGAAGAAAAGTTTTTTTTTCTTATATGGATGTAAATCATCATGTGAGATGAACAAAACTAAACTAGGAACATTTTTAGTAATAAACGGGAGCACTTAAATGTGTGGTTATTTTCAGTAACTTTACCAGTGGAAAATGTACTGTAATGTGGCCTCATTTGTGTGTTTTTGTACTTTCAGCTCATTCCTTGTATCCCTTGGCCTCATTTTTCCCTCTTTCTTCATGTGTGTGTTTTTTCTTCTCCCTCTCAGGAGCACATTGGCTGGAGAAACGTCACCCGTTTGTTGGTTTTCTCTACTGACGCAGGTTTTCATTTTGCTGGAGATGGGAAACTCGGAGGAATTGTGCTTCCCAATGATGGGAGGTGTCACTTAGAAAATGACATGTACACCATGAGCCATTATTACGTATGTATACGATTGAGCTAATACACTGTCATCATTATAATTAGCGTTATATTTGAAGGAATTGAAGGGAAAAGGTGGAAGTAAAATATGCATTAGATACATTTTTTATCAATTAAATATATTTTTATTTGTTGTTTAGTTTTGTTGTTTTATTTGTTTTTATTAGTTTATTTGTTAAATTGTATTTGTTTTTAACTGCAAAAGCAGTCATTTTCAATTCTTTTAATCATTAGTGACTAATAAGTGACTTTTAATCGTAGGTGGTTTGTATTGCTTTTATTAGTCTAGAAGCAATATCGCTGCTTTTGACTTTTATTTGCAAAGTATTTAATGATTAATAATTTGCTAATATTAAGCATGCACAAGTACTATTTTTTCATTTATGTTTTTATTACATTTTTTGTAGTTTGCAGAGTTATTTATTATTAACAATTTGTTATCATTAATTTTGCGAATATTAAACACACAAAAATGTTTTTTCTATTTTAGATTGTATTTTTATTACAATTTTTTGTAGTTTTAAAATATATTATTATATTTGTTTATATCTGTAATTTATATTTTTATTTTATTTTTATAGCTTTTTAAATATGTCTATATAATTTGTTTGATTGTTTTTATTAAGTAATTTTCTGTTAAATTTTAGTTATTATGGCACAATTAAAGACAAATATTTCCATATAACATAAAAAAAATTTGTTAATGTTTATTTAAGTAATAATTATATAATCTATGATGATTTAAATATCCAGTTCAAGTATCTTAAAGCCCAAGTATATCATATTCAATTACAAATTAAATTATTCAAGTAAATATTTTGGCCTGTTTATATTCTCTACCTTCAATAGTTTGCATGAGTATTGCCTATAATGTTTACATTCCTGTCTTCAGATAATTTTAATACCAGACTGTTGGATGTTTGACAGATTTAGCATAACTTTCATTTCTTTTCTTTCCTCTCTCGACTAGGATTACCCCTCGATCGCCCACTTGGTTCAGAAACTGAGTGAAAACAACATCCAGACCATCTTCGCTGTTACAGAAGAGTTTCAGCCTGTATATAAAGTAGGTCCACAGATGATTTGCTTAATGCTGTGAATGGATTGCATGTGCTGGAGCAGAAACTCATATTTATGAGTGTCTGTAGTCTATTTCCCTCGTAGAGTCTTTTATCTTGCTTGAATTGTTTTTTTTGGGGGGGGTGAGTTCAATAATTGAAAAGAAATGTCCCTGTTAAAAAGCTATTATTGAATGTCTTTACTACTGTGAGCCTGAAAGTCACCAGTCTGAATCCAGCTTGTCTGTATTTGGAAATCCACAAGCACAAAAATAGTTTCCCAGTTTGGACTGATCTGAATGCCAAAGCCATAATTTAGAGTTCCTGTCTGCAGTTTAGAGACTGCTGTAAAACAAACACCCCGAGTCCCTGTGCTGAAGATCCATGAATATTTTCAATGTTTTTTTTTCTCCCCTTTTTCCACAGGAACTCAAAAATCTGATTCCAAAGTCTGCAGTCGGCACGCTTTCAGCAAACTCCAGCAACGTTATCAATCTCATTGTTGATGCTTATAATGTGAGTACAAGTTTTTTGACAAAACTTGAAGGGGTGTTTATAAAACCTTTATGATCATGATGTGACAAGTGGACGTGAATGAGATTTTATGACAACTGTTGTTATGTGTCATTTGCTCAGTTACGGTAATTTAAATGCAATGATGACATTGTTTGTTGACATTACCAAGACCATGTCATAAGCAGGATTGTCATGAAGCCATTATAAATGTTTTGATTTTATATCAGCAACATTAATGTTTGTTTTGACTTCATCTACAGTAGTACAAGCTGAATGTGTCATCAAAATGTCTTTAAATATTAATATAAAAATGATTTGACACTTTTAATGAGAGATTTTAATGGCAAATACAGTGAAAACATGATCAGAAAAATATGCATGACAATTATAATGACAGCCATGTTTATAACATGTTGTGTTGTCTTGGGTATGTCAAGTCATCATGACCAAGATGAAGATTGGTTGTGATGTGTTTGTTATGTCAACATCTTTGCATCTAAAAATGGCATAACTGAGCTAATGACACGTAAGGACAGTTGTAATAAACATGCATAAATTCTCATTCATATATCATGTCATGTTTATTAAGGTCTTATGAACACCTCTTTAAGTAAAGTGTTACATTTTTTTTACCTCCAACTCATATGAACAGCTTGTTTATCTCTTTTCTGAAAAATGACCCATATGTGCATTGCTAAAATAATGCCACCTCTGAGACGTAATGCAGTGTGCACTTTCGTCTATTTAATAATTAGGCTTTCGTTGCAAATTAGAGATTCAGTTGCACAGCATCCATGCGTTTAATCCCAGGGATGCAGCTACTGATATATGCTTACCTTGAATAGACTGTAAATCATGTTGTAAAGCCTCTGCCATGTGCATAGAAGTACATGTAAATTGTAAATAGGACAAATTGTGCATACACTTGGGGTTTTAACCCAATGCTGGATCAAACATAGACAAAACCACCTGTTGGGTTAATAGTAGTATTAGTAGTAGTCGCCATCGTAGTAGTTGTCTTCGTCATCATCATAGTAGTAGTAGTAGTAGTAGTAGTAGTAGTCGTCTTCATATCAGCAGGCATAGTCATAGCAGTCGTCGTAGTAGTAATCGTAGTAAAAGTAGTAGTAGTCGTCATCGTAGCAGCAGTCTTTGTAGTAGTCGTCTTCGTAGCAGTCGTCATCGTAGTAGTAGTAATATGGTTGTCGTCATAGTAGTTGTCATAGTACTCGTTGTAGTTGTCTTTATAGTTATCGTTGTCGTAATAGTAATAGTAGTAGCCATTGTAGTTGTCGTCATAGAATTTGTCGTAGCCATCGTCGTCGTATAAGTAGTAGTAGTAGTTGTCATCATTGTTGTCATCATAGAAGTATTAGTAGTCGTCATCGTAGTAGTAGTAGTCATTGTAGTAAAAGTAGTTGTCGTTGTTGTCGTAGCAGTAGTCATCATTATTGTTGTAGTATGGTCATCGCCATCGCAGTAATAGTAGTCGCCGTAGTTGTCTTTGTCGTCTTAGTAGTCGTCATAGTCATTGTAGTCGTAGCAGTCGTCGTTGTAGCCATCGTCGTAGTAGTCGTGGTATTATTATTATTTTGACATGCTCTTAGTGCTTTTGTGCTATGTACTTCAGATTCTGTGTTTAGATTGTTAAAATAGAGCCCATTGTCTGATACTAGCTTCGTTCATACATAAAACACAAAACTGCCATTAATCTTACAACCGCTAGAGGGCGCTTAACTCAACTATACGGTTTTAATTCGCTGTGTGCACAAATGACTCTCTTTTTAAAATATAAACACGCTCTGTTTTGAAAGCAGCTGGTGTTTTTGTGTCAGTCTCTTTCCTCAGAGGTGATCCTGGAGAACAGTAAGCTTCCTGAAGGAGTGACCATCACATATCAGTCGCGCTGTAAGAACGGTGTGGTCAACGAAGGAGAGAGTGGAAGGAAATGCTCCAACATCTCAATCGGAGACGAGGTAAGGCCAAATCAACAGCGTTTAGATGCACCAGGGCACAATTGCATATAAGCTCTATGTTTTTCTCCCTCAGCAAAACACCCAAGCCAGATTACATAAGGACTTTCATGCAACCAGGCCCTGACATCAGTAGCCTGTCATTTCTGTACAGTAAGTCTGTTTTGATTTATATCTCCAGGTGTCGTTCAACATTAACATCACGGCTCAAGGCTGCCCTAAACAAGGCAAGACAGAGACCATAAAGATCAAGCCGCTGGGCTTCACTGAGGAGGTGGAGATAACACTGAGCTTCATCTGCGAATGCGAATGCCACAAACACGCCATGAAGAACAGCCCGCTGTGCCACAACGGCAATGGCTCCTTTGAGTGCGGAGCCTGCAGGTGAGAAAAACACACGTCTTTGGTCAGTTATGTTAAGTCTAAAGTGCAGTTGAAGACAATATTATTAGCCAAGAGCTGCAGAATTCAGGCTAATGTTAGCAAACCACCAAGAAGAACCACATCCAGCAGGAGTAACTGTGGACGCCAGGGGAAGCTGCCTAAAGGGTTGTCTGGCTGCTGACCCCGATTGTATTCAAAAAGCATGCAAGCACAGCTTAACGTGCACCTCAGCTCTCCTGTTTCCACCAAAACGGTTGGTCTGGAGCTCCACAGGGTCAATATACATGGCTGAGCTGCTATAGCCAAAGCTTTGGTTACTCTTGCTAATGCCAAACGCTGGTTTAAATGTTGCCAGCAGCAAAAATTTTGGGCTGTGGACAAGGTGAAACATGTAATGTTCTTTAATGAGTCCACCTCCATTGTCTTTCCCACATCTGAGAGAGTTACAGTGTGGAGAAGCCCCAAAAAAGCGTCCCACTCAGACCGCTGATGCCCAGAGTGTTGGTCTGGAGCTCCACAGGGTTAATAAACATGGCTGAGCTGCTATAGCCAAACCTTTGGTCACTCGTGCCAATTCCAAACGCCGGTTTCAATAGTGTCCACAGCGAAAATCTTGGGCTTTTGACAATGTGAAACATGTAATGTTCTCTAATGAGTCCACCTTCATTGTCTTTCCCACATCTGAGAGAGATACAGTGTGGAGAAGCCCCAAAGAAGCGTCCCACCCAGACTGCTGATGCCCAGAGTGAAGCATGTGGGGGATCAGTGATGGTTTGGGCTTCAATAACATGGCATTCCCTTGGCCCAATACTGGTGCTAGATTAGGGTCACTGCCAAGGACTGCCAAACCGTTCTGGAGGACCATGTGACCCAATAGTTAAAACACTGCATCCTGAAGGCGGTGCTGTGTATCAGGATGATAATGCACCAATATACACAGCAAGACTGTTGACAGAGTATATGATATATACTGCTTGCTTCAACCTTAACTCCTGCACAATATTCATCTTTAATACCTCTCTTGCACAATATCCTGCGCAACATTGTTCAGTCTCATGTAAAAGTACTTGTATAGTCTTATGTGTGTAGTTAAGTATGTTATAGTATATGTTAGTTATGCATCGTTTTTTATAGTAGCTCTTATGTCCAGTGTTGTGTTTGTATTTATGATTACTTTATGTAGCACTGTTGTCCTGATAGACACAACATTTCGTTCCTCTGTACGTCCACACATGCAGCAGTATGACAATAATGTTTGACTTGATATATATGGACAAATTATTTGCTTTAATATGTTTAAAAATGATATAATGTGTGTGTTGGTGTGTGTTCAGGTGTAATAAGGGTCGTGTGGGTCGTCAGTGTGAGTGCCGGAAGGATGAAGTGTCCACCGAGGATCTGGACAAGAACTGCCGCAAAGACAACGGCACCGACATCTGCAGCAACAACGGCGAGTGTGTGTGCGGGACCTGCGAATGCAAGAAGCGGGAGAATCCAGAGGAGCGATACAGCGGGAAATACTGCGAGTGCGACAACTTCAACTGCGACCGCTCCAACAACAAACTCTGCGGAGGTACAGGACCACTTACACTGTCCTGTTCACAGAAATACATGCAGTACTGCTGGCTGAGTCAGTGACAGAGGAGTCATTTCATTACTTATCAACTAGAAAATGTCAAGTAGGAGAAGTACTGTTCATTTTTAGGTTGCTTAATTGCAGTTAATTATGATGTGCCCATCGTAAATATGGTAAATAAATTCAGCAGTTCTGTATAAATCAAAGAAGCTGAGGAATTGTACAAAGAAGGTCACATTTGGCAAGACGATTTAGAAACAATGAGTTGAGTCAGAATTTAATGATTAATGCTGGTGAAAAATAGTTTGTGTTTTCATTTCTACTACACTGCCTGAGATAGCTGAATTTACTGTTTGATTAGATAAATTACACAAGCTGGATTCACTGGTCAGATGAGCTAGAAATGCAGCACACTGAGGACATCTGCTGGTTATAAGGGGTTAATGCAATAAGACAAGCATAAACTAAAACTAATCAGATTGTTATCGATTGCTGTGTGGACACAAATATAGTTGTCATTATAGTTATAGTTAGAATTATCATCTGTATAATTATCATCAATGATTTATACTTCAGTTTTGATTTAAGGTAGACTAATTGTGATTTCAGTGGGACTTTAATTTTGTATTTCAGTGAGATTTGGACTTCAGAGGACTTTAACTTTGATTTCAGTAGGACTATTATTTTGATTTCCGTGGGACTTTTATTTAGGTTTTACTGGGACTTTTATTTTGATTTCAGTGGGACTTTAATTTTGGATTTCAGTGAGATTTTGACTTCAGAGGACTTTGATTTTAGTGGGACTTTTATTTTGATTTCAGTGGGACTTTAATTTTGGATTTCAGTGAGATTTTGACTTCAGATGACTTTGATTTCAGTGGGACTTTTATTTTGATTTCAGTGGGACTTTTATTTTGATTTCAGTGGGACTTTAATTTTGATTTCAGTGGGACTTTAATTTTGATTTCAGTGAAATATTTCCTTCAGAGGCCTTTAATTTTAATTTCACTGGGACTTTTATTTTGATATCAGTGGGACTTTAATTTTGATTTCACTGGTACTTTTATTTTGATATCAGTGTGACTTTAATTTTGATTTCAGTGGGACTTTAATTTTGTATTTTAGTGTAATTTTGACTTCAGAGGACTTTAATTTTGATTTCAAGGTAATTTTGATTTCAGATAGATTTAGCGGTCATCTAATTTAGATTTTTATACCACTGGTGTGAGCAGCTCTGAACACTGAGCACATGCTAATATAATAACAGCACTGTTGTTGTCCTGCAGGTCACGGCCGCTGTGAGTGCAGGGTGTGTGTGTGCGACGCCAACTACACAGGCAGCGCCTGCGACTGCTCCCTCGACACCTCCACCTGTCTGGCCTCCAACAAGCAGATCTGCAACGGCCGGGGGATCTGTGAGTGCGGGACCTGCAGGTGCACAGACCCCAAGTTCCAAGGGCCCACCTGCGAGATCTGCCCCACCTGCCCCGGAGTCTGCACCGAACACAAGTCAGTGCTCATGCAGATAATACACCACCACTGCGCAGTCAAATAAACATAGTCATGCATGTGTTCATATTCTGTTGAAGTCAGAGTTATTAGCTATATATTAGTTATATTCTGAAAAAGAAATGCACAGAAGGGCAAATAATTTCAACTGTAATTAAATTGTGCAGGGAGTGTGTTCAGTGTCGTGCGTTCGGCACCGGAGAGAAGAAGGACACCTGTAAGCGCGACTGCAGCTACTTCAACCTGATCGAGGTGGAGGATCGAGACAAACTCCCGCAGCCGGTGCAGGCCTTTCCACTAATGCACTGCAAGGAGAGAGATGCGCGAGACTGCTGGTTCTACTACACATACGCCGTCAACAACAACACAGAGAAGGAGGTGCACGTCGTCAAGACCATGGGTGAGTCCACAAAATCACTATTAAATCCCTCTGAAATCATAACCTAAATTCCACTAAAAATTAAATTACAGTCCGTTTGAAATCAGAATGAAAATCCTGCTGAAATAAAAATAAAAGTTCCCCAGAAATCAAAATTAGAGTCTGTTCGAAATCAAAATAAAAATCCCCCTGAAATAAAAATAAGTCACAGTGAAATCAAAATTAGTCTACCTTAAATCAAAATCCCACTGAAATCCACTTTAAATCACCCTGTAATCAAAATCAGTGTACCCTAAATTAAAATTTAAATCATGACTAAAGTTCCCCTGAAATAAAAATTACAGTCCGTTTGAAATCAAAAGGAAAATCCCCCTTAAATAAAAATCTAAATGCCACTAAAATCCAAAATTAAAGTCCCCCTAAAATCAAAGCTAAGTCTGCCTAAAATCTAAATTAGAGTCGCTCAGAAATCATAACTAAGGCTCTACTGAAATCAACAATACAGTCCATTTAAAATCAAAATGATATTGATAAAAATAAAAATCAAATTCTTTGATATCAAAATAAGTCCATTTGAAGTCAAAATGAAAACCTCCTGAAATTAAAATTAAGTCTCAGAGCTAAAGTCCACTGAAATTAAAAATGTTGTGAAATCAAAATCCCACTGTAATCTTAAATTAAAGTCCCCCTGAAATCAAAATTAGTCTACCTTAAATCAAAATTAAAGTGCCCCTGAAATCAAAGCTGAGTCTACATGAAATCAAAATTTGAATCCCCCTGAAATCCTATTTAAAATTAAAAATTAAAGTAAAACAAAAGTTATATAAAATAATCATTTAAATAAAAGTCTCCATGAAAGCAAAATTAGAAAACCCCTGATATCAAGCTTAGTCTGTTTAAAATCAAAAATCCTAGTAAGGCCAAAGCTAAAGTCCATTTAAAACAAAATATCACTGAAATTCTAAATTAAGGTGCCTCTTAAATCGGAATTAGCTACCTTAAATCAAAATTAAAGTCCCCCTGAAATCAAAGCTGAGTCTACATGAAATCAAAATTTAAATCCCTCTGAAATCCTAATTAAAAATAAAATTAAAAATTAAAGTAAAACAAAAGTTATATAAAATAATAATTTAAATAAAAGTCTTAATGAAAGCAAAATTAGAAAACCCCTGATATCAAACTTAGTCTGTTTAAAATCAAAAATCCCAGGGAGCCCAAAGATAAAGTCCATTTAAAACAAAATATCACTGAAATTCAATATTAAAGTCCCCCTTAAATCAGAATTAGTCTACCTTAAATCAAAATTAAAGTCCCCCTGAGATCAAAATTAGATTAGGGCAATTGCGATCCTACAGTTAACATGAACATGATTACCAATAATAAGTGGTGACTGTTGCTGTGTTTTGTGATTGTCCAGAGTGTCCGCCGGGTCCAGATATCATCCCCATCGTGGCCGGTGTAGTGGCAGGAATCGTGCTGATCGGTCTCGCTCTGCTGCTCATCTGGAAGCTGCTCATGATCATCCACGACCGACGTGAATTCGCCAAATTCGAGAAGGAGAAGATGAACGCCAAGTGGGACACGGTAGGAGAGATATCACTGCTAAAACTGGAGCCAGATATCTGGGCCTGTATTAACGAAATATTTCATCCTACTGCTAAAAGTTTCAGCTCTGGGTATTTTCTTAAAGTCGACCTCTTTTTTTCGTACTGTGAGACGCAGTTTCAAGAGAAACAGAATATTAAATGACAGCAGTGGGCGTGGCTTTGTTTTTTTCCACTGCGAGCTGATTGGATGTAGTAGATAGAGAAAACGGTTTGGGGAGATTTATTTCAACCTAACAGACTCCTCCTCCTCACCATTTCTGTTTGATGTCAAAACTGACAGCTGGAGGGGCGTGGTTTAGTATGTTAGCCCCACCCAATACCTCAAACAGATGTAATCTTAAGAGGTTAACAGAAAACAAACAGGAAGTGCATTTTCAGGTATCAGTTCAAGATTATAAGAGTAAACTATTGTTTTTTATTAATGACATGCACAGATGAATTGCAAAACTAGCAATGAGAGCTAACAAAATCAATATGGTTAGCTCTGATTTCATGTGTACTTTAAGGGAACACGCCACCTTACACGTCTCACAAAGTTAAATAGCAGTCTTGAACCATTTTTGAATCCATTCAGCTGATTTCTTGTTCTGTCGGGGTCACTTTTAGCTTAGCTTAGCATAATGAATTGAAGTGAATTGGACCATTAGCATTTCGTTCAAAAAAAAAAGTTTTAATTATTTTCCTATATAAAGCTCGAGTCTTCTGTAGTTACATGTTGTAATAAAACCGACAGAAACTGAAAGGTGGCTATTTTCTTGGCCAATTTTACAAGAAACTTTACTTTTAATTTGGCACAATTAATACAAATACGATTAATGGGTAATTTAGTAATTAATATAAACAATTCTCTTTATAATTACTGTTTTTACATTACTGTGACGGTTGGCTGTAGTGTTGGGGTAGGGGTAGACGTTAATAAAATAAAGTTAATGGGTAAGTTAGTAAATAATAGAAATAATTCTGGTTATAATTACTGTTTTTACAGTAATATTAGGAGTAGGTTAAGTGTTGGAGTAGGTGTAGACAATTATTGAGTAACTTAATAAACAATATAAATAATTCTCATTAATGTCCGACCTCAGCTGCATCCCTTCTAGCAACAACCGCTGTTCAGTGTGTCAAAAATCAGAGACTCACTGCTGCCTTCTGCTGGTCACTATTAAGACCACAGTTGAGTTTACTGTCCTCATGATCATAATACTTGCAGTGTTTACTTTTGTCAGCACAATCTTACATTAAATAAAGCATTAAAATAAAAATAGCATTAAAATAAAAGCCAGCTGTCTGTTCAGTGTTCAGATTCAGCTGGAAATAAGACACAGAACTGAAGCTGTTGTAAATAAATCAAGCACAGTACTCAACACTTTGTACTTGCAGATAAAATAACATTCACAAATTAAAAGATAACAGAAATGTAGTTTAAAGAGAGACCGTGTGTTACTGAATGCTTTCCGAATGCTTGTCATAATGATGTTCGTTTAGAATAATCACCTTTTTAAGCTAATCTCAGATAAATACACAACATACACCGTTCAGAAGATATGAAGTTATATCGTAACTAACTGTAAATGTTTTAGTTTATTGAGCAGGACCTTCAATCATGATAAAAATACATTAATATAATATTACAAAATTACAAAATTAATTACAAAATTAAGAGGTTAAAAAGCACTCAAAGTATATATGACCAAAACAAAACATTCAATTTACATATACTTTATTGCTTTAAAGTGCATCATTTTTGTAAGAACAGATTTATTTTTAGCATTTTAAAGATATACCTACTTTAAAAGTGAACTTCTCCTCTCAGGGCTGTTTTAGGCTCATGCTACTAATAAAATTACAGTATTTAAGGTTGATTTAATACACATTTAGTGGTGTTACTACAATCTAATTCATTATATTCCAATAAAAATGCTTCATTTCACAATTAACTGGTGACTTGCAGGGTTTTTTTATGGCTACAAGTACACTCCTTTGTTGGTAATGTTTTATACCATGTTTTATAGTATTATACTAGCATTCTGTATTAATAGAGCTCTTGACTTCATCCTCATGCATATTTACACTTGATTCTATTATTGATTTGATATTTCAATTTGCATGTTTCTCCTCTTCCCTTCATGCTCATGAAATCTGTCCACTCTTAAAGAGCCCCTATTATACATTAAAAAGGGTCATATTTCGGTTGTATGGGTCTCCAACAACGTACTGATGTGCATGCAAGGTCAAAAAACACTTCCATGGTCTTATAATAGGAATTTATTTTTACCTAATTATCCCAGCGACTCCTGTATGATTCGTTCAGCGATTCATGTGTTGCTTTGTTGATTTATCTGCGCTGATTGGACCGATGACAGCCTGTTGCGATTGGTCGACAGCGTTCAGCGCGAGACAGTAAAATGTCCAGCATGGTTTGTCAAGCCCCTGGGTTGCCAACATTGGTATAGGATCCGATCTAAGCCCAAAACACGCTTCATAGTAAGCTTACTCAACAGTGTTATTCAGGCACCTCACCCCCGAAAGCAGTGCAGTTAAACACCAGCATATTGCTCTATTCTTAACCATGACACACATTCAGTATTAATCCACACAGCAGCAAAAGCTGGAATATTCTGAAGCTTGACCGCTGCACGTGTGTAGGAGCAGCTGACGGTGGCCAAAGCAGCGACAAACGGCAGTGGAACGCCAGCTCACAAACACATTTAAATCAGTAAACAAAGCCGCACGCGTCGCGTTTTCAACGTGTCTTTAGACGCGATTTGAGAATAAAGTTTAACCAGATACATTGCAAACGGTTACAAGTAACAAAACACATTTAAATACATCATTTCCAAGCTAGAGAAATCAAGGAGACGACCATTTACTTACACTTATGAAATGTGTCATGGGCCAGATCTGATTTCATTAATTATCTTACTAGCTGTAGATCATTTCTATTTGCAGTCGTTGCTGTGGCACCTCTTGTGTGAAGTGTTATATGTTCTCAGGGCTTACCTGTACTCTGCTTTGCCCAACAATCACATCTCCAGCCAGGGGATCCTCACCAGCGCTCCTCCTCAGCGTGCAGCAGGCTGCCTTTGTTTGACTGTGCCTAATAAACTGGCCTTAATTTCCTCGCACCCCTGGTGTATTGTCTATCCCTTACAAAATGGAGGAAGAAATGAATCCAGGAGCTGTGTACTAAAGTTCCTGTCGAGCTCTGTCAAAGTCTCATGCATCAGTAGACTTTTCTGATCCTTCCTTTAACAAACGAATGAATCGCCCATTGTAAGTGTTAGATTGATGAAGCACTCCTTTCCCTCACACTTCCAATAACATCCAAGTAAGCAGAGTGTCTTCATGACTCTTCAGGATCTGTTTGTGTTTGCTGCTGTGTTTGTGGGCGGCGCCGCATGTTTAAATTTTCCCAGGTTTGCGCGCACAACAGTTAAGCGGGGCTTCTGTTTCGTAGCTACGTCACTCCAAAGACTCTTTATAAAGACGCTTTAAAAACTGTCCACTTTCAGATTTAAGCCTTAGCTGGATAGTTCACTTCACTTAGAGCTGTGTTACACACTACAAGGAAGCTCATTCTCAAAAACCCATAATACAGGCTCTTCACAAATAAAGCTTCTTTACTGACATTGATGATTGATAACATTCACGTGCATTGCACTGTACGGTTGGCATCAATTAAGAAGCTTTATTTTTTTAAGAGTACCTATCTGTTTGTTCTCCACTTGTTGTCCATCATTTCCTCTCTCCTGTTGAGCTTCATCTGTTCTTGATCTGTTTTCTGTCCTTCTCCACTCTCAGACAGAGAATCCAATTTACAAGAGCCCCATTAATAAATTCCAGAACCCAAACTATGGACGTAAAGCTGCGGCTCTATGAGTTTGTACATCTGTCCTCTCTCTGCATGGCCTTTCTTCTGTCTGTGTGTGTGTATGCGTGCGTGCGTGCGTGAGTCTGCGCGCACACCTGAGTGTGTGCACCTGGTTGTGTGCGCATGTGGCCGAGTGTGCACATGTGAGTGTGTGTGCGTGTGTAAATTGCATGTGTCAGCGTGTGTGTGTGTGTACATGTGTGTGTTTCTGAAGCTCACAGCTTTTCTTCCATCATTTACAATCAGTTTTTTTCCCCAATTTGCCAGCAAGACATTTTTAATAATCTAAACCAGGGGTTCTCAACTGGTTTGGCCATGGGACCCACATTTTTACATGGTCATCAAGCCGCGACCCAAATTTTTAGGAATTATAATATAATTTTAGAAATTATAATTCAGTTGTATTTATTTGTTAACATAAACAAGTAGTGACAGATAAATCATAAGAAAAAATCATAAGATTATCATAAGATAAATCATAATATTACAAAGTAAAAACAACAAATACTGTAAACAGTGGTTAGGGTAAGGAAAGGTTCAGTTACCATGAACTAAACTGAACTGTTAATAAAACACGTTTTCTGGTTTCTAAATGTTGTTTTAAGTTAGAAAGTTTCATTCTCTCTTAATAGAGCACCTCACTATGATACACTGAGGCTTTAAGTCTTTTTTTGTCTTCAATATATGTAAATCCATAATTAACATATTTGTTGCTATAATTAAATGAAATTTCACATTTCAAACGGTAGAATTGTTGCGTGTGCATTTCAAAATAAAAGTCCGGTATAAGCAAATTAAGTTAAATGAATATTTTGTTGTTGTTTTTTTTGACCACACACTCCACGACCCACTGAAAATGTTCCAAAGTGGGTCGTGACCCACCAGTTGAGAAACACTGATCTAAACTATGATAAAGTGCCATATGTTCACTTACTCTTGCATATGTTAATAAGTACAGGTCAGAATGAGTGTGTTGAGACATCGTTAATAACACTTATGTGAAAATATAGATACAGTTGAAGACAAAGGTATTTGCTCTCCTGTGTAACAAACAACAACAAAAATAGTTTTAATAACTCATTTCTAATCACTGATTTCTTTTCTCTTTGCCATGATGACAGCACATAATATTAGACTAGATATTCTTCAAGACACTAGTATTCAGCTTAAAGTGACATGTAAAGGCTTCACTAGGGTAAAGTTAGGGTAATCAGGTAAGTCATTGTATAACAGTGGTTTGTTCTGTTGGCAATCAAGCAATCATTTTGACATGTGCAGTTTTTTAGCATTTATATTTATTATTTTTTGTTATTCCAGCCTAAAACTAAAAGAAATAGGACTTTCTCCAGAAGAACAGTATAATATGAAGGACTTTAAACTTTGAAGAATAATTACAATTTCACATGAGGAGGGCTCATATTTACTTCCATTCTTGATTCAAAATCCTGATTATTTCTGAAGTGAGTTTTAAGTGTTCTGTAAAAACCACTAATCAGCTTCAGCATGAGCTTCTGAAAGTGTTGTGTTATATTCAATCAGCGTTTGACTTCATGTTTTGAAGTAATATTTGTTTATAATATTATTGAAAAGCTTCAGAATATCTGTTTGTTCACCAATAAATGTCATATAGCTGCATGTTCTGTGGTTTTCAGGATTATTGCACTCGAGTGTGTTATGTTTAAGGATATTGTGAGACTGAATTACGCATTCTTATGTTTAATTTTTGGCTTTGTCTGGCAGGGAGAAAACCCCATCTACAAGAGCGCCGTCACAACTGTGATCAACCCCAAATACGAAGGCAAATAATGGCCATCAGAATCACTCACCAGGATGTTTGGCAAGGGATGGGTGTGCGGATTTCCTCCCTATTTCTTTATTTTCTCATTCGTTTAGATCAATACTAGGAAGTTGTATTTCATGTCCGCCTCTCATCCCTTGCAAACCTGTACAGTCTGTATAGTCTTTTAACTTTCATTGGTTTTCCTTCTTTTACACCCTGTGCACATTCACGCAATCTCTCAATTCAGAACCGACAGATATCTGTGCCTTTGCATAAAGCTTTATATAAAAGGGATCCTTAAAAATCCAGACTTAGTGGAAATACAGGCCTACAGTATTGAAAAACATGCAATGCATTGCTCCAGGTACGTTTCGTTGTACGTTTCAGATGACAAATCCACTAGAGGGCGGAAGATTTTTGGAAATTTACATAAGTTAAGGCCACAGTGCAGTTAATTTTTATTCTTAAAAAATAAGTTTAAAGGTGCTCTGACTCTCCTAAAGCATAAAAACACCCTAATATGTGCAGATATTTCAGAAACATGCTCAGTGAACATTCCTGTTTATCTGAAATGCAATGCTGAAGTCAGATATTCTGCTTTGAACTTGTCCGTTACGTCGTTTGTCTTTGTTTTGGTCTCTTTAACCCACCCAGTATAGCCACGTCTATTTCAGAACCCCGGGTTGCCAGATGGTGGAAAACACCGTATTTGATTCATTCAGTCAGAAGGCTCTCAAAGCATGCGTCTGTGACTGAAATACGACGTCTGGTGGACAGTAGCAGACTCCAAAATGAGACGCAGAGTTCCACATGAGGTTATTAGTTAGCAAATAATATAAATATAACAAATGTAAGCATTAGGTGAGCAGGTTACATTGTAACCCGTGTCCTAACAACACGCTATTTGAGGAGATGGGCAGTGATAAGCAATGGGCTATATGCACACAGACTTCTCATTTTCAGCCTAATTTCAGTCTTTCCATTAGAAAATTGTCATGTTTAAGATCTGATTTCTTTAAAAATCAGCAATCTTCACTGCCTGTTAGATATACGATATGATGTGGGTCTCAGATCAGACTAGAAGCTCTGCATTAAACTCCGTTTAATATATGACCGGTTATTTTACCCCAGTATTTTCAATGGAATTTCTGCGCTCGCCTGTTGCTACTGACGGTGCTAGCGGTTACAACGGTCTTTCAGCTCGTTTTACGCTTCAAAGACTAAACGAATGCTTAAGTCTATTTAACTGAATGAATTGTAATTACATTCCAACATCGATGCTGTATAAACAACCTTGTGAAATTGAAACTACTCACATTAAGCTTTCACCAGAAGTTTATCATCGGCTTTGAAACTTTAGCTGTGCACTGAGCCCATTAGATTAAACATCGTACGATGCCGAAATGGGGAGGTTTATAATCTAATGAATACATATTAAACCTTTTAACATGATTGAATGTAGATGCTGAATCACTGATATGTGTTGGTTTGCACCTTGCAGTCTCAGTTCTGAAGTTCAGTTGTTGGTTAGGACAAAAGCCTCTTTAGTAATATGAAGCATATTCCTTATATCACGTGCCGTTGCTTTTAGTTAAAACATGGTTTAAATCAGCCTTTGTTGGTGTCGTCAATCTGGCAACCTGCTCTTGTGTGTGTGTGTTTTGAACCAGGGGTGCAATACCTTGTTCAACCACTGGGTGTCAAACTTACATACTGCACCTTTAAGTAACATTAAACTGCATTCTAGCAAATCACTGACCTGAACCCAACCAATAGTGTTTTCAAAAGCAGATGGAAGAGAAAAGTGCACTGTGACCGCATAGTTTTACATTAAAATAATGCGTTATTCATCAATAATATGTCCCTGTAAATATCATTAGTGTGAAAAGCAACAAAAGCTGTCATCATAGTGTTTATTTTACCTACACTCTCAGAAATAAAGGTACGTGAGCTGTCACTGGGGTGGTACACTTTCAAAAGAAACACTTTTGTACCTTAAAGGTCCATATTAAAACCTCAAGGGTACATAATAGTACCTAAAAGGTACAAAAGTGTTCCTCTTAAAATTTTGAGGTACTAATATTTACTTTTGAGGTACCAATATGGACCCGTTAAGTACAAACCTTTTGAAAAGGAACCACCCCAGTATCAGCTCGCCTACCTTTATTTCTGACAGTGTAGAAACCGCAGTCAAACTTATGCAAAAAGTCGATTTTTATGGTTTCCTGAAGGATGCATTTCCAATAAGCCTGTGTTGAATCCCTTATCATCACCCAAAAAAATCATTGAAGCTGATCAAATGCAATTTTAAACCATCGTCTAGTTGTTAGTTTTTATTCTGTCCTGCTTTATCAGTCATATGTTGCCGTATGTGTTTGTTTTTCTGAGCTGATGAATGTTTGGTTTGAGCATCTATGCATACTCGTTTACCCTCAGATCTTGCATTTCATGCCAAAAAAAGCCTTGTTTTTTTAGACTGTGCAAACAGAAATGTATTTCTCTCTTATTGTTGCTCTTAGAAGATCATCTCGTGGTCATTATGTGTATTTTACATGTTATGAAGAATTATATGTTGAATTATTATGTGACTCTTGATGAGTATAAGTGTAAATCCTGTCGTTTTGTTGCCCATAAAGTGTAGAAAATCCAAATATCCTTATACTTTCATTAGAAATGAGTATGATTATTGACAACTACAACTGAAGATGAACCAAGTCAAGTTGTAATTTGCATATTTGAAGTCAGATGAAGCTACAAACGGGCTTTTTGAGGGTTGTAATTGGAGAAAATGAAGAATTCGAGTGTAAACAGTTTACTCAGTGGTACATCAGCCCTGTAGCTTTACTTATTTTAATAATAATAATAGATCGAGGCTCACTTTTTTTTTTATAGATTTTGGTTCACAAAGTATTTCATCCATTCATTTTCTGTTCGACTTTGAAATATTGTTTGTCGTGATCTAAATATATTCATAAATATTGAAGTAGTTTGAGGTTATAATGAGATTCAATTGCAGTGCTTCATGGAAGTGGGCGGAGCTAAAGATCTCTTGACGTGCTTAACTCTCTGATTGGTGGACTTGCGCGCACAGCATCTTGGGTAATGTAGTTTTCCCACCTCAAATTCTACTATTGAACACTGTATTGATTATTTTAGGAAAAAGTTGAATTCATGTGAACTGATGAGTATATACCTTCAGTTAAAAACTGTGGGGAAAATGAATGGAGGATTTGCTTCCTGAACCAGACTCTTGTGCTAAATTGAACATATGTAGTAACATTTCAGGCATTTAAAACCCGAATCACTCACAAAATATGATCAAGCTAGAAAAGAAATGATTTGATTGCCTGCCCCGACAGCCAGTGTATTCGCTTGAGGATGTTTTAAGTGCCTTTATTTCTCAATATTGCAGTTTTTGAATTTATTTATTAAAACTAAATCTAAATAACCGGTGTTATGTCTTTCTTTCACACTGTAGTGGTGGTAGACATCCAACATGGACAGATTGACGGACAGTCAGTCAGACAGATGGTTGGATAGAAATGTGGATAAATAGGATGGATGGATGAGTAGATAGATACCTTAGCGGATGGATGGATGGATGGAGAGTTGGACAGCTATGTTATTTTTTTCCCCGTTAAATGCATATTAATAAACATACATGCAACCACAGGCTCTCACATGTATGTTTATTTATATGTAATTAACATTAAAATAAATATAAAAATTGCCTATATTAAATATAATCTAGTAAATATCAATATATCAAGATAAGCAGTGCTTATGGCCTGTATATCTTAAGTCATTGGCCATTCTGACAGCGCATGGACCAACAGAGGGCAGCAGCGGATTACAAATAACGTTACAGGTAAAGTCTAGAAGGGATACAGCTCGCATCAATATAGCATCATTTTTGTGACCCTATACAGAAATAATTTATATTTTTACATTGCTGTGAGGGTTATGGTGGGGATAGGCGTTAATAAAAACAATTTAATGGGTAATTTAATTAATAATGTAAATAATTGTAAGTATAACTACCGTTTTTACATTAATGAAGGCTAGGTTTAATAACGTTAATATTCACTTTACACGTAAAACTAGCTGACATTAAACGGGGAAAATACCTTTAAAGCTAGGAAGTTAATGTTTTATTTACTTCACCCTTTATTAGGAAGTTAATGCGGACTTTTAAGTTTAGTCATTACTCAAGCGCTTCCGGTGAACGGTCATATACTATACAAAGCCACGTTTAAGCTCTGATATCTTTAAAAATCACTGATCTTCACTGTCTGATTGAGCTACGAATTAAAGTTGGTCTCAGACCATACAAGAAGCACTGCATTAATTTACAATGGACCGCGTCATGTCTTTAAAATATGGACATTAATTTTACCACAGTATGTTCAATGCTAGCCTGCCTTCCCGGATGACGCTAGCTTTAAAACGTTTTCTATCTCGTTTTACGCTTGGAAAAACGAAATAAATGCTGAAGTTCATTTAACAGAGTATATTTTAATCTCATTACAACATCAATAATGTTAAAGGAACCGTATGAAATTGAAAACAGTCACATAAACCTTTCACCTGAGGTCTATTGGTGCCTGTAAAACACTAGTAGTGCATATAGATCATAGATAGCTATTTTCAAAGCATGTAGTTGATGCTAATGTTTCAGCTGTAAGGCATCAAACTCGATTGCTCTAGGGCTGCAGCTCAAATTGAACACACCTGATGCACTAATCAAATTGATCAAGACCTCCAGGTGTGATTAGGAGCTGAGTTTGAGATCACGGCTTTAAAGTAAGCAAATGCATGTCTACAAGACTCTAGGTCAATTCTGACAATTGAACACACCTGATCCAGCTAATCAAGGTGATCAAGACCACCTGCTGTGATTTGGAGCTGATGTGAACCTGCTGGAGTTGAGTTAGAGATGATGGCTGAAGGTTAGCAAATTCATGTCTACAAGACTCTGAATTAGTCCTGACAATTAAACACACCTGATCCAACTAATCAAGGTGATCGAGACCACCTGCTGTGATTTGGAGCTGATGTGGCCCTGCTGGAGTTGAGATTGAGAGCACTGCCTCCATTAAGGTAAGTAAACTCATGTGTATAAGACTCTGGATTATATCTAACAACTAAACTCTTTAATTCTAACACACAATGTTATCTCCAACCCCGAAGCAAATTTAACTATTTCTAGGTTTTAATAGTTGTTTGCTTATAGAGCTTAAAGGAGCTTAGAGCAGTTTTGGTTGTGTTTTAACTCAGGCAAATAGTGTTTCTAGAAGCTGATGCATATTATATTAAGCTTTTTAAATTCTTATTATATTAGGATTTTATTCTGGTAGAAATTATGTCACAACTAACTTAGACCATGGGGGCGAATTAACATTCATGCAGTTTAATAGCAGACATATTGATTCATATCGCTTGTAGAAATTTCTGGTTTATTAGAGAGGGGAAAAGTTATTTTCAGTTTAAAAGTTTAAAAGAAAAGTTATAAATACTAAGTTCTAAATAGATTTGTTAAAAGTATTTTTAAATGCAGAGTTAAAATTTATTTCTTTACTGTTGTAATTAGAAGTGTAATGTAATTTAAATGTAATTTAATCACCTTTAGTCAATTGTATTTTAAAAAAAAAAAAATTGTTTTATAATGTTCAGTATTGATTTTGTTTAACTTTAACATGTGAAATTTAAGATTGGATATTTAGTTTGAAAACAGTTGAGAAAAAAAAACCCATACAAGATGCTTTATTACAGCACAAATCTCAAACTCCATTCCTGGAGGGCTGCAGCACTGCACAGTTTTGCTCCAACTTTAAATCAAACACATCAAGGTGTAATGAGATCAGCGTTGGAGCAAAACTGTGCAACATAGCAGCCCTCCAGGAATGGAGTTGAGACTCATTACAGCATAGGTGTCCTCAGTACAGGAGTCCTGCTGAGTTTAGCTCCAACACCTGCTAGGAAATATCTAGTAAGATACCAATTAGCTGGTTCAGGTGTTTGAATAGGGTTAGAGCTAAATTCTGCAGGACACCGACCCTCCAGGATAGAGCTTGGACACTTCTGCATTACAGCAATTGAAATAAGTCAAACAATTGTGATCATCCTTTGTGGATGGATTGCCCACACAAGTAATGCAGAACCAGCAGTCGCATCAAATCTGGAAAAGAGATCAGATAAATGTTAATTTTTGCTTGTCAAGAAGATTACAAGTCATTAAAAAGCTCAATAACATGCATGTTGATTATATACCAGATTGGTGGAGGGGTGTTGAAGCGAGGTCCAATCTGTATCAGTCAACATCCCCCAGTGCACTGAAGTAGATGGCATAATCAATGAGGTGTTCTGCAAACACGGAAGAATGGAGAAAATTAACTGCCAAGCATAAGATTATACACATGTTAAGGTCTCAAATGAGGATTGATTTCATATTTACCTTTTATTAAATGTAACTGAGAACAATATGTCGAAAGAGCTACAGGTCAAGTCATGTCTCAGTTCTTGCTCCATTTCGTGATGGTCAACCAAGGACACAAATGTATTGGCTTCCACTGTTGGCCTGGTGACTTCACCAATGTCCATGCCAGCAGTTCTAGAGACTTGTCCACCTTAAATAAATTGGAAAGTTAAAACATTTACATTCATACATAGTTTAAAACCAAAGCACAAATCTTTGTATTTCGGCTTCTCTCTGCACGTCTCACCTCAGTGTTGTGTTGAGGAATGGTGAAGTTGATCTAATGAAGTTGCCTTAATGGTTAAATAAGCTGCAATGACAAACAAACATTTAAATAGATCCATTTAAATTGAACAGGGGAAAATAAGATTAGAACCTCTTACCGTCAAGGGTTTTTACTTCTTTACTAAATCACAGCTTTGCAAAAATCATCTCCTTGAGCTTACCAGCAACATGGAAACTGGAGAACATGCATATTACACATCTCTGGTCCACTTTCACCCCTAAAGGAGAAGCGCCTGAATGTGCATGCATTCTGGTCAAGTTCACCAGCATGTGCAGTCCTTCAAAAGGCAGCGCTCTCTCCATCTCCCCATTTTATATCTGAGCTATTTAATTGCTTAATTGATTACAAAGGAACTGAAACCAATTACTTTGATTTTGTTGCCCAATTACAATTAAAACATCATGATCTCCACACTTGCATATTGCATGCAGAATTTATCTATAAGAATAACAATTGAATAGCCTGTGCTTTGTAATGCACAGCCTATATTTAATCTGTGCCAGTCATAAATTTAGTGTCATATAACTTATTTTATATATTTTAAATGTTATATATGCTAATGTGTCAATAAGCTAGACACATTGTTTAAAGTTAATAGTAAATAAGATGTATTACAGCTGTGTATTGAAACTTTATAACAGATTTCTGAAGGCTCGTTTGTAAAGGCAGATTTATGATGCTTATAAATAAAAAACTAAACATTGTGATTATTTTATTATGCAGTAGAGCAAGACATTTAAATGTCGCAGCAATGAATTTGTCCTTTTTCTTTTCCCGTATTTCCAGTTGTAGTTGAGTTTGCACGTGCTGTGAGCGGTAATGTTGCCAAATCCGTAGTTTTCCCTTGGAATTCCAACATACGAGCCACAAAGACGTTAAATCACTAGTTGCTCGCATTTTGTTAAACGGATCTGGCAACCCGGTTAGTAAACACACGAGCTGTCATTTATGACGCTCATTACGTGCAAACGCTGGTTTGCCGCGCAAAAAATCTAAGAAATCAAAAGAAAACAAAATGGCGGCACCTAAAGTTGTTTGCTAACCCCAAATATGAATACCTACTGTGTGATTAGCAGTCTATGGCTAGCTAACAGCATTAAACAATGGACAAACACAAACGTAGAGTATTAAAAATTAAAAACTACCCAAAACAGACAGTTTTTATGTGTGTCTGTGTCATCTAGTAGGAATGAACTGATGTTAAAGCACCATCTCAGAGAACAGACTGTCAGGACTAAACCCCATGAACAACGTCACTGGATTTGCTGGGAAAGAGGCCTTAAAGACAAAACAACAGAAATGAGTGAGTAGCTTTGTGTGTTTACGTTTTGGGCTGCTGTATCTGTACTGTTTATGTTTGGATGGAGTAGGTTCACTAAGCCAGCCTAGGCTGGTTTTAGAGGTTTTTTTTAAGAGTCATTTCCAGCCTGGTCTTAGCTGGTCAGGCTGGGAAATGACCATCTGGACATAGCTGGTTTAGGCTGAGCTCCCAGTCTTGCTAGGCTGGTCAAGCTGGTTTTAGCTGGTCATCTCGCAGCCTGACTAGTTAAGACCAGGCTGTAAATGACAGAAACCAGCCTAAAAATGGCCAAAACCCCTCTAAAACCAGGCTGGTTGACCAGCGAAAACCAGCTAACGACCTAGGCTGGTTTAAACTGGATATTTCAGCAGGGATGTTGACAGAGTTAAGGTAAATTCGGTTTTATATTCCTCCAGTGACATTTGTGTGTGTCTGTGTCTGTGTGTGTGTGTGTGTGTGTGTGTGTGTGTGTGTGTGTGTGTTTCAAGATGAGCAAAACAGACTACATGTACTAAACACCATGGACACCGTGACTGAATTTGCTGAAAAAGGCCCTGAAGAAGCAGAAGAATACAGCTAAATGAGTGAGTAGCTTTGTGTGTTTACCCTTTGGGCCGCTGTGCCTGTACTGTTTATGCTTTAATGCAGTTGGTTTATTACTGACATTGGCTTATTGAGGTAAATTTGGTTGTATTTTTGTCCAGTGACAACATGTCACACTCCCTGTATTGTTTACTGTGGTACTTTGAATATTCAGACTGAAATTACATGTCACTTCAAGAAACATTAGCACTCTCCAGTACTTTAATGCTGGTTATATGACTTCATTATTCAGAATTGGCAATGAATACTTGTCTAAAATTATATTATTATGGAGGAAGTCAGTATATGGTCAATATGGCGGCACCAACAGCTGTTTGCTAACCCAAAACAAGAAGACCGACTGTGTGATTAGCAGACTATGGCTAGCTAACAGCATTAAACAATGGACAAACATAAAAGTGGGACATTAACAATGAAAACTACCCAAAATAGACAGTTTTGTGTGTGTGTGTAAACTTGTAGGAATGAACTGATGTCAAAGATGAGCAAAACAAACTGCATGTACTAAACACCATGGACACCGTGACTGAATATGCTGAAAAAGGCCCTGAAGAAGAAGAACAATACACCTAAATGAGTGAGTAGCTTTGTGTGTTTACCCTTTGGGCCGCTGTGCCTGTACTGTTTATGTTTTAATGCAGTTGGTTTATTACTGACGTTGGCTTATTGAGGTAAATTTGGTTGCATATTCGTCCAGTGACAACTTGTGACGCAACATATATTGCTTACTGTGGTACTTTGAATATTCAGACTGAAATTACGTATGACTTCAAAACAACATTAGCACTCTCCAGTGCTGTACCTTGATTCTGCTAACAGGATTTATAGAGGTAAAGTTGGTTTTATATTCACTTATTCACACATTCACCTTAATAATAAATCTTTATAAAAGTGTTATTTGCAAATTCTAAATAGGAAATCATATTAGCAACCAATAAAAATCAAGGTACAGCATTTTTCTCAGTCAGTTAGATGGTGTTGATGTTGTTTTAAAGTCATGTTTACACAGTAGTTTAGATTTAATATTCAAATAAGCGAGGTAAACAATATAGAGAGAGTTAAATTCATGAATGTGCGAAAATAAAACCAACTTTACCTCTTTACACGATTTCACTATCCAGAATTTGCAGTAGTACATTTCTGAAATGATATTATTAAGGAGAAAGTCAGTATGTGTGCAATTAAAACTGTACCTCAGTCACAGGCTGGGCCTGTTTTTAAAGTTCCTTTCTGGTTTTGATACACAACTGTGAATGTTTGTGAACGTCCCTTCAATGGAATTAAGGGTTTGGGGGCCGTACAATGTTTTAATTTTTGCATATTGACCCAGTAGCTTCTGCTTGGCTACACAACTCTGGTAAGTTACTATGGTATTCATTAGGGCTGCACAATATCAAAGTCCCGTTAAGGCCGACATTTCACTCGGTGGCCATCTTTAAAACACCTCTCGGGCATTCTGTCTGAATGGCCAAACATCAAACATCTCCAAAACTGTTAGCCAAGCTTGCCATTAAGTTACATATTTGGAGCCACCAATAAAATTAAACAACAACTGTCTTATAAGTTTTGTTTATAAACATCCGAATCAAACAAAATCGGCATATTTTCATGTTTCCCGAGCTAATGCGCATGCACACTCAAAAGAAATGTGATCATATGCGATATATATACTTCTTACATCTGTGAAGCAAGTATTCGCTGAGATATCAGTGTGTTTGTTGACCACCAAACTGTCGTAAAAGCACACGTCTGCTCCGAGCTTCTCCCCCAGAGAAACATCAGTCTATAGCGATCGATGATTGGCTCCTGTACTAGTAGGCGGGGCTTAATTCACCATATTGACCGTTACACTTTACCCCATTCAAAACTATACGAGTGACACGTCTTGTGTAAAGTCTTTGACAGTATATTGTTTCAGCAGAGATATAATGCAAGGTGATCATTCAATAATCACATCGATAGCAGGATTTCAGAACGTGGCTTCTGATCACTTTCAATAACTACATTGACCAAAGATGCTTTCCGTTTTTGTCTGTCTGAGCAACTCACCTTGATTAAGCTCTCCAATACAACAAACGAAAGAGAAAGTTTAAATGAGTAGCCCTTTATTTAATGTTTTTAGCAGCAAGATATTGCTTTCACATACTAAAAAATACTAAATCTGTGATGTGGGATATCCAATAAAAGACTTTTAGATCTTTGAGTTGTCATTCTGTGATTGTCATTAATGCCCTTTAAAGTGCAAATGCCCATATACTCCTAGTTTTATTGAACCAGGTTGGTCTCTTGAATTCAATTTTGGCTTTCTTAAGAAAACAATGGGAAAACAATAGGCTAGGACAATTTCATATATAATAAAGGAAAATATATATCATCAAATCCACCACCTCTTGCTTTAAACCTGTGGGGAAAACACAATTAGTATATCCCTCAAACGTTTAACCTTAAACCTGACCATTATTAGAAATGGAGGCTGGCTCTTTAGCTAACCTAAACGAACAAAGAAAAACACCAGCAATGAACTGTGACAATAATGCATTGCTTTCAGGTGATAAATAGTATGCTTATATGCATCACATAGTTCTTTAATAAGCAAGAACATGGTACAGCTCTGCAAGAAGCAACATTGTGCCGCGATGTGTCTCAAAACCTTAAGAAACTGGAAATTGTATCGTCCTGAAGAGCAAGAGTTAAGCAGAATTGTACACCTTTCACAGTTTAGCTCCAACCCAAATTAAACTCATCTGAAAATTTTAATCAATGCTTTTGGGATTTGAAAAATTTGGGGCTGGTATGTGACACCCCATTCACACAGGGCTTCAGCATCAACGCTTAACTGAAGGGGTGTTTGAAGTTGGGGCTGAAGCAATCGTCATAGCAGCGTCAGCCAATGAAATTAGTCAGCAATAGGCCACTGTCTAGCTGGTGTATTTGCATACAGCGATCTGATTGGCTGATGCTTCCGTCTGCACTTGAAAAGTTGAGCAAGTCCCAACTTCTGCAGCGAGCAATGCATCTGAAGCAGCGCAGACAGACCCACAATGCAGTTCGACAACGCCTGACGTCAGCCATTCACAGTGAATGGGAAGCGTTGACGCTGATGCCCCGTGTGAATGGGGCGTTAGAGTTAAACCACAGAAAGATGGCGCAGGATTTGCCTCCGAATTGTAGTGGTAATTGTAGACAGCTGGTCAACCTACTACAGTAGGCTAGGGAGGTCTGATGCTATGTTTACGTGAGCAATATAGCTAAAAACAGAGAAGTTTTTCCCTTTTGTTTTAAAAAACCTTCAGATATTCATGACATTTTCAATATGATCCACGTTTATACACATATCTATGTAAATGGGAAAAACTGTATTACATATACCAGGCCAGTATTTGGCGCTGTCGTCTTGTTAATGAACAGTACAAATATGGAAGTGATGAATCAATCCAAATAATCAAGTGTTCAAAAGAGTCGTGAACACCTTGACTAGTTGCATCAGCGGTGTTTGATTAGGGTTTGAGCAAAATTGTGCAGAGCTGCGGCCCTCCAGGAATTGAGTTTCAGACCTGTGATGTAAAGTAATCAGCATTTTTGAAGCTAATGAAGACATTAGAAGTCATTGATTTATTTGAGTTATTCAGCCTGACATGTTTACTGCTCCAAAATATTATAAATGTTTCTTAAAATAAAATGTACTGTGTTCAATGAGTGAAAAAATGTAGTGAGACCGTGATATTTTTATCCAAGGTTATGATGCCATCAGAATTGTATACCGGCCCTTGCCTGGTTTTGAGACATATCTGACATGTTGCAGTCGTATATAGGAAAGTATCAAATATGCACATCAGTTTTCAGAGGATTATTCCCCCTCTCAGTAGAAAGCAGGAATGGTGTGTTCAATCACACAGCGTCTGCAGTGCTGTCTAACAAGTCGAAGTGCTTCAGGCGGCACGTCACACTCTTGTACGTTTAATAACTGCAGTTCAGGACATCCTTCTGCTAGTGCCATCAATCCTCGTCCCGTCAAGCTCTCGCATCCCCTCAAACTCAGCCTTCTGAGCATTTTACAACAGTGTGCTAACACTTCCAGTCCAGCGTCCGACACCAGCGGGCAGCGTCCTACGTCAATGGACCGCAATCGAGGGCAGTTTCGAGCTAAATAACTCAAACCCTGATCTGTCAGTCCTTCACACCCCCGTGCATTCAGATAGCGTAGCCGCGGACAGTAGCGTGCTACATAACGCAGTCCGACATCTGTTATCCGCATGCAATGTGCTACACTTAAATAGCGTAGACGGCCTTCCAGACGAGCGACTTCACGCAAACCAAAGTCTCCCACTAGATGGCAGTCGCTAAGGCTGAGCTCGCGTAAGGCTGTGCAATGCAGTGCTAGCTGGCGCAGGGATTCGTCTGTTATCCGGATGCAGCGGCGCAGGTATAAATGTGTGAGACGCGGACAGTGAATTGCAATGGTCTTCAAGCCTTTGTCCTCCAGTGAAACGCAATCCGTCATGTTCAGGTATCGCAGACCGATCTGTTGTCCGTGTAGAGGTGTGTGTTGCACAGATCCCTCCTCCGTCAGGCTGATACACGTCACTTTAGGACAGCCTAAAGGAAGCGAAACTACATTTTAGCAATGTTAAAATCAACCGAGGCTCATTGTGGATACGCTCTCTCTCGAGCGTCCTCTTCTCGTGTTAATTCACTAGAGGGCGCAATATACACTTCAGCCAACCAGGCCAGCTTGCTGTTCACAGACTGACCCACCCCCTTGCTTGAACCCAACCAATAGTGTTTTCAAAAGCAATCTAGAAAAAGAAAAGCTGTTGCAGTCGTGTGATTTCACCTCGTTTTCAGCCTGTTGTTTATTTATTTATATGTATTTTTAGTATTATATTATAGGTGCTACCCACTGCGGCATCATGCAGCCCGGTCATAAATTTGATTAAACTATTAGAATTACCATATTTCATCCATAACCAGAAGATAAAAGTTGTATTTATATAAAAAAAAAACTACTTGCAAATCAAAAGCCATCAGCATTTACCCTTGTCTTACTTTGGATTGCAACCTCTGGGGTGTTTACCTCATATTAATAATATCAATTTTAGTATTTATTATTAATAGCATTAGTTGCAGCAGAATGATTTTACGATGCCATGGTAAACTTTGACACCTTTACGCCACTCGCATACATTAAAAATAAAAATATATATATTTTGTAGTGGCTGTCTCCAAAATGAAACCAATAATAGACTTGTGCGTTAAACATTGTGCCCACCAGTCTCATTAGATGAGGTTAATATTAAATTATTACACTACAAAAACATACTTATATGATTGTTAGACTGGTGCACGTTTAGTTTTGTCAATATTCTCCTGTTTATATAGGCCTACTGGTTTGTGTGCACCCTTGTGTGCAACATTTGTATGCTTATAACCACCTCTGATCCTCAGTAGGGGTCCTCAGTAGGGGTAATTTTTGCGGTCACGTTCTGAAAAGTTTGGGAATCCCTGTGCTACTACTCCAAGAAAAAACTCATAGATGCTGATGTCCTAGCTTGGACTCAGCGGCATTTATTAACTCTTGCACCTACATTCCTTGTATTAAAACTATTACCAAGACCCAAGACATGCTTAAATATGCATACGAGCATCAAGTTTTGATTCAATTTCAACCTGAAAATCAAATCGTGGGAAACAGGAAAGAGTCAAAGTTAATGACCTGACAATTTAGACTCGACATACGGTTTTCAAATGGATAAAATAGCAAATAAAGGCCAGAGAAAATAAGACCAACAGAAATAAAATCCGCAAACCTCATATGGAACAAAACCCAGGCAGTATCTGTTTTTGCTCCCTCTACAGTTATACTACCTGCTTTTGAAAGTGGATGTAACCACAAGATACTTCTGCAACAAAGGCTGTATTACTTGTGGATGGCAGAATACACGCTGTGCCCTCTGCATGATGAATAACTGTACAGTGTGCGATTGTGCGATGAACTCAGCAGACGGACTCTTGCACTGCGCTTGAGGTTAGCAGTCCATCTTTTTAAAAGTGACTGGCGGCGATTCCTAGATCCCGTAATGTTTTTCCCAGCCTTCCCAGGAAAACTTCAGCATCGTGAATTACTCCCCGAATAAATCCACAACCGAACATCGCATTTTGATGCACACCGACAGCTAATCCATCACAGGAGCTCCTGAAAATAATCAAGACGTGATGTGTTTTCCTCGTTGACCATAATTGATGTGCCGTGCACATGCATGTTTGCTGACCACCTGGAGTGCAAGACTTGTCCTTTTAAATATCTGAATCAAGAAAGGAATAATTGACGATAAGCCATTGAATAATTAGAAACTAATGCACACCTAGATCAGCCATGATGTTGGCCTTCTACTGTGTTTTGATGTGATTTTTGACTGTAGTAGCTGTGAAATAATCATTTAGCGTAGTGATATGGAGCTGGAATGCACTCAAAACCTGCCGGAACTACTTTAGTTGTGCGTTTATCTTAAAACAATTGCACATCTTGGTACTGTATGTTCATCAGCCAATCAGAATCATGCATTCAACAGAAGCATAGCATAAATTAATACCAATTCATAGTGTAGTATTGCAAATATTACCTACTATTTATTGCAGTTGCGTTTCTGCTGAGGCTTTCAGTCATTCGTAGTGTTTTAAAGTCTAAATATTTGCGCCTTGACAGTTTTTATTTTTTAATTTGGTTCAAAATTAAGATGTAATATTAATTTTGCCGCGCAAATACACATGTAACCCTCGGTACACAAATGTATTATAAGCTTTTAATCAATGGACCAGATGCTCAGAAGTCTAAATTCCTCCAAAGAGAGAGAAGATACAACAACAGTGAAGGACTCGGACACAGAGGTAAGAATATTAAAAGATTGTATTGTAAAATGTTCACAGAAATATAAAATAAATAAATAAATAAAAATAAATAAATAAAAATAAATAAAACAAATTCTAGATTTTTTCACACTTATCTAATGACCTAAATCTTATTTACACTCTCTAATAACACTTCTCTTTCTTCACAGGCTATATCACTAATAAGGTAAGTTAATATTGTTGTTTTTCTGTTTTTTCTATTGTTAAGGCTAATATTATATTTTGGTTACTATTATAACAATAATATAATATTAATATGCTAATAACATTACTATATTAAAGGTTTGCAAGTGTAAGTTAATAATACAATATTAAAATTGTATTATTATTTAACATATAATCAAGATTTCCCTTCTTAAATCAGTTAACCTCTCTCTATAAAGATTCAAAAATTTCAACGAATGAACACTCTAAAGGAACAATGTACAAATAAAATAAAAATGAAAATAAAACATTCACTTAAAACATTTCAAAATGTTCCAAAAGTCCAGTAAAGGTGATAAACTTTCAAAAAGATTCTTTTGCAAAACAACTAGGTTGCAAATTCAGTTCCAGAGATCCAGGATGTTGCACTTGTGAGTGTGTTGTAAATTTACACTCCTACCATGACGTTGAATAGGTTTTACTTTGTATCTTTTCAACAGGTGTATCCAAAGAATCCACTCAATGGGAGGCTCGCCAGTCCAACTCCACAATGAGACACGCCGATGGAAGTTGAGACAATCCAAATCCAGAAAAGAGTTCAAACTTCAATTAATTCGAATCCAGAGCAGATCACATCCAGCAACTGACGTCAATAGAACATCTCACCGATGAAAAACCAGAAGAAGATGCACAAACGAACAAAACCAAACAAAAAAAAAAAACCTGGCCTTGAAAACACAAGGCCAAAGAAACCATTAGCATTTTACAGTGAATGCATTAACTCAGCTTAACACATTTCTAAATAAACAGCAACAGTAAATAACCATGTATATGCTTCTCTCTGCTGAATTTCTGTGTTTTTCCTATTTCTCTCTCCTATTTGGCATTTTCTTTTTATAAATGACAGCATTTTACTCTTTCACTTAAACTTTACACAATCACTTGTATAATACTCTGTATAATACTTTGAGTTTACTAGACCAGACAAATGGTTAATTAATGAAACACATTTTTTTGACACTAGTTTAAATCATGTTATAATGAATACAATAATAATTAATAAAAACACGAACTCACCAAGGAAACATTCAAAATCAAAGCGAAAAAAATAGGAAAACTCCAGGTGGCACTCGTGTGCAGATTTCACTCTCAGAAACAAATCTTGTTTTTTTCTTCTCTCAATCCTTCATTAAAAATATATAATTGAAATCATGTCAGCATCTTATTAATGGTCAATTTTCACAGTTAATACGCATTAAAACATTAAAAGATGTAAATCTAATAGTTATATTACTTTTATTAATATAACAACTTACATCTCTGCTTTCCCTTGCGAACACTGAATCACCATAGCAACGGTAAACACAAGCTAACAGACAAGCGAGATTTGTTATTGTTTGGAAAGCTGATCTGCTGCTATAGTGTAAGGCACGATGATGTCATTCTAAAGCACTATTCCCTTGAATGCTGTATAATACTCTATTATAAATTATTTATATAAGTAAATAATTTTAATGTATATTATTTAATCGAGTATTCTGCCAATGTTTTTTCCTCATATTTCTATTTGCTCTATTGCTGTATACTACCCACTAGTAACCTGGGTTACACATTCCCCCCCTGAATTCAGGCACGTCCTCGGGCATGTACGGGGTTGGGTTGTCACTGCAATTGGAAAAGGGTCTGGCACAACAAAGGGCTGATCTCTAGTGAGTATGGGTTCTTCTAACGATGTGGTAAAGGCAGAACTCAGACCTTGTAGTAAGGACTGAATGACTAGTGTCAAGGGATTTCCTAGTTTATGATACTCAAGCTTATTAGGAGGTCTACATTGCCTTTTTGAGCGTCTAGGGCCACTGGTATCTAGGTCTTCATCCACTATTGGCTGGTTACTTGAAACATTTCTGACATGAGGATTTTGATCATTAGAATGGGGTACATCAACAGGATCTAATTCAAGCGCCTTTCTATGGATCTGTAGTTCAACACTATTTCCACTTCTTTCAGGTTCAATTTCTTTAGGGTCAATATCAGCAGGGTTCAGCACAGGTAAGAAATTCTCACTGACATCATCTCTTTGATTTTCAGTTAAGTCTTCTTCTAATCTGGAATCAGGTAAGGTTTCTTTTTCAGGGTTCACTACGACAGGGAGTGGTTCAATGGGCTCCATGCCAGGTAAGTTCCTTACAAGCACTGGACTTTGTGATGAACGTAACACAGTTGTTGTAATGGATTCCAACTGGCGTCCTGCATTTCTAATATATAGAGAGTCATCCTCAGATTCTGACTGATCACTCATTTGATGTTCTTTGGGAGCAAATTCTAAAGCAGAGCTAGACCTGGTTCTGGGCTTACGTTGAACATTTGGAGGACTCATTTCTTCAATTTCATTTTCAGACAAATATCCACAAGGTCGAAGTAAGTCTCTGTGTAAAGTTCGAACTGGACCGGTCTTTCCGTCAGGCTGGACTACATATACTGGGAGATCTCCAGCTTTACGGATAACTACATAGACATCTGGTTCCCATTTGTCTGCCAGTTTGTTC